AAAGGGCCAAAAGGAAGACACAGAAGGGATGGGGGAAGAGGAAGACGAAGAAGGAATATAAGTAAAAGATAGTGTGAACAAAATAAAGGAAAAAATAAAGATGGAGATGAAGTAAGAGGAGGAGAAAGGGAAGAAGAAGAAAGAAAAAAGAAAAAAAAAAAAGGAAAGGAAGAAGAAGGAAGAAAGGAGGGGGAAGAAGGGGGAAGAAGGAAGATAAAGAAGGCGGAAGATGGTGGAGGAAGGAAGAAGAAAGAGGGGAAAGGAGGAAGAAAAGAAGATGAGGGAAGAGCGCTAGGATGTTGTGCAAAAAAACACAAGTAGATTACGGTTAGAAAATGAGTAAGCGAAAAGGTCGAAGAGGAAATTAAAGTTCAGTAGGAAAAGAAAAGCAGTATCATTAATAAAAAAAAAAAAAAAAATTAATCTGATGAAAACTGGAACGAAGAGAATGAAGTAAAATACTCAATTCTAAGATTTCTCAATAGGACTATTGAGAGTATGTTAAAGGAAATCGCGAATAAAATTTAAAAAACTCGCAAATATTTTATTTTTTCCAAAGAAAATAATTATAGAGTAGAGAAAGTGAACAGGCTTTAAGCAATGTTACCAAGCAGAAGATTACATTAAAAAAATGACGCTTATGGCCTCTGCGAAAATACAAGGGAAACGGGGGAAATCATAGTCTGGTATCAATAAAACGAGAAGAAGTAGCTGAAAGTACAGAATAAGCACTGAGCACAAAAAGCTGAGTGGAGCTGATTCAAATACCGACATCACAGCACTCGGGTCATTCCCATAAGAGCTCCGTCGCTAGCTTCAGCGGCTACCATAGAGTTCCAGTACCAATGGTACGAGTATTGGCCAGATTCCCTCGTCACTCCCCGTTGCATCCCTCTTACCAGACTGTTGTGATCCATTTGCTTTTCCGAACTGTACACGTTCTCACATAAGGCCCTAACCACGTCTGCCTTATTATGCATCAATATTCCACCAAGTTGAGTAGAACCAGTCAGTGTACCTGTTCTTTTCTCAAAACACCGGCATACCCTGGAGAAAAGTTTCAGACAATTCTCCTTACTCGAGGAAATAAATGTAACCACTCAAAAGAGAAAGGTTTTTCAAGCGCTCGGACATCAGCTAATAATTCAGGAAAAAGAATTAGTGGCAAGAAATAAACATATAAAATAAATACAAGACTGCGAATTCGTTAAGTAAAATTTTGCTTCTACTGACCCGGACTTCTATATCAGTTCAGGCAAAACAGGGTACAGAGACATGTTTTAAAGAACTTTCCGTACCAAGAATTTACCCATAGTTTTCTTGGACATTCCAAAGACAGAATAATGTCCCTTCTGTCTTCTCTCATAGACTGATATTACATTGTCCCTTTTTATCTGTATTATTTAGTAATTACAACTTTTGAAGCTCAATTCCTTGGGCTTCGAGGGGTTAAAATAACAACTTCTTGGACATTAAAGAACTAAAATTTACAGACGGATATTGATCTGCCGATTGTGTGTGCTACTCCTCTCTGGTGAATCAAAAGGTGGCGCAACCATCTTCAAACTGTTCGACTGCAGCGGGCACTTACATGCGTAACGCTCTTAACATCCCTGACAATAGTTTTGACAGCTTACAACACAAAAGAATAGTTATTTTATCCCTGTCACACTTTTTAGATTATTATTTAAAGCTAGCTCGTATAAAAACACTGGATAGTACCATATGCTACCTCACCAGTGGCTTGAAAAATAGTAATGTTTTTGTACTTTGACTAAACGTGTCAAATCCAACCTTCACGATAAACAAGATTTAGAATATCGGTGAAAAGAAAATCTCAGAGTAGATTTCTCGGTCGCCGAATAAATAGGGCTTACGGTCATCGGATATATAGGCTGACGCTATCTATACCTAATGAGATTACTTGACATCAAATTTCGTAGAAAATGAGAATCGAATACTAAATAGCAGATGTGAGTGTACAAAAAGATCAACAGATAAACAACTTATTAAAATAAGGAAGAACAATTTGTATTAAAATAAGGAAGAACCATTCGTACTTATCACATAATAAAATCTGCGACCGCAATAAACGCATTTACCTATACTCACTCACTCACTCACTCACTCACTCACTCACTCACTCACTCACTCACTCACTCACTCACTCACTCACTCACTCACTCACTCACTCACTCACTCACTCACTCACTCACTCACTCACTCACTCACTCACACACTCACTCACTCACTCACTCACTCACTCACTCACTCACTCACTCACTCACTCACTCACTCACTCACTCACTCACTCACTCACTCACTCACTCACTCACTCACTCACTCACTCACTCACTCACTCACTCACTCACTCACTCACTCACTCACTCTCTCTCTCACTCACACACACACACACACACACACATTCTTATAGCCCAAGCGCACGGCATAGGTAGCCATGTCTGAAGCAACATTTTTGTGTGTGTGTGCACCATGTCACCTGCCCTCTTCAACTTCCCAGAACATATACTGGCATCTGTCTGATGCCAGGTGGATCTATATACTTACTATCGCACCTCTGTATACGACCGCTTTCTAACAAGTCCAACTCGAGGGAGCAGGATTAACGGTAAGCACACCAAGCACGTGCTTAAGGCACTACAAAAGGAAGCGGCACCAGCGACATTTTTACTGGCCTTAGAGCTGAGCATTTATTTTGTCGGCTGAAATATACTTTTAAATGTCATCAGAGCACAAATACAACAAGGCAGTCTGATTGCTTTATCTATGTTAAGTACTGAAGCAGATGTGTTACAAACGACTAGTGAGAGGATCCGATGAAACACTTTGCAGTTGAAAAAAATAACTTTAAAAAAAATTCAAAAAAATTAAAATTTACAAAATATACATTCTTGCCCATCTTACTGTAAATATTGTTTAATTTTGATAAATGCAATTTAAATGTATGGTTTTTTATTATTGTTTATATTGGGGGGGGGGGGGGGGGGGGGCTCTAGCGCCGTCTCAACACGAGGATAGAGCTCCAACTAATCTGTATATACCAAGCGACAATTTGCATTTATTGGTTGTCATAATAGTGGCCCCAGCACATTGGTCCGCCCATGGGCCCATGAAGCTGTTAAGACAGAGGGCCGGGGGAGGGGACCCACAATCTTTTAAGTGCTTTTTTTTTGGGGGGGGGGGAGGGTGGGGGGGGGGAAGGACCTTAACATTATTTGAAGTCCTTAGAGCAATGGAAGCTCCAGTTTAAAAAAAGAAAAGAATTAGACACGGATGATCTCCAGACTGGTGAATCGGATGCGGGACATCTTACTTGTAATGGAGAAGTTTTCCGGAAGGTTGTTATGGGAGCAAGATTTAGCAAAGGACATTCTATTGACTGACTGACCGCGCCAAAACAGTCGGATATTCTCATCCAAAAGAAGGACCCCATTTTTCGTTATTTCAAAGGCCCACCCCAGCTGTAGTCGGGGACCCTAATGTAAACTAACGGTTGAACAGGGTTTCTGTGACTTGTGTCTGAATGCGAGTCAACCGAATAGTGGCACTTTGCGACATACGATGTTGGTCGCACCTTGTACGGTCATCGTGGGGTTGAACAACATACACACACACGCACGCGCGCGCGCACACACACACACACACACTCACACACATGAGAGTTGTGTAGTTTCTTATCTGATAATATGTCGGCGCGAAGCAAAGTCCCCGTGAAGGGAATAATGGAACACCCAATAATAAAAGCTAGTTTAATTATAAAAATTTATATCTGTTATCGTTTATGCAACATAAATTCTACTGCATATGAGCGACAGAAGAGGAGAAAGATAATCAGACAAAAGCAACTGCTGACCCAGAGACAAACGTTATGTGACATCAATGATGGCGACGTTCAGATCTTGTGACAAACAATTTAGAATGCAGAAATGTCAAATGTTACCTGAATCCATGAAAGATGATCAGAGCAATTGTGACCAACAGTAAGGAAAGCGAGGATCCAGCGATGAACAAATAAATGTAGCTGAGTGATGGATTGAACATGATGTCATCCTGAGGAATGAGATTCAGGAAAATTATTAGATGTCTGTTTAAGAGTCTGTATGTCAGTCTGTCTGTTTGTCTGTGGGTCGGTTGGTCGGTGGGTAGGTCGGGTGGTCGGGCTGTCCGTCCGTTCATCGGTCGGGCCCTTGGGCCGTCCGTTCGATGGTCGGGCCTTCGGGCCGTCCGTTTATCGGTCGGGCCCTCGGGCCGTCCGTCCAGATACTCTCTGTGAATGTGACCACTAATGTGACTCTAAGAGTCGCAACCTGGTGGGAAACCAAATGGGCGAATCTCTTGTTCATCCTTTAATAAAATTTTATTAGGGCAGTGTTTTGTAGTCCTGTAAGGACAGTGGTCAATGACACCAGTATTTCTTTGGCATTTAATGATAGTGATGATTCAGTTTCTTTGCTCATCGAGCTGCTGGTAATCCTTTAATCCTACGGTTGATCTGGAGAGACCAAATTACGGAAACAGGTAAATGGCCCACCGTTTTTCAGATTCCTGGTTCATATTCAGGAAAAGAGGTAAAACCGTATGTAAAGACTTTGTTGCCGCCTCAGTAAACGAAGGAGAAGAAGAAGAAGAGGCGAAAATCTGAAAATACAGATAGGAATAAAAGAAGAAAGAGAGCGATACATAGGAAATCAGAAGAAGACAATACGAATATTGAATAGAGGAAACAAAGAAAAGACGATGTTTTAAATGTATTTAATGAGGATAAGAAGAAGGAGGTGGAGGTTACAATTTGAACGCACAGAAAAGAATAAAAGAGAAAGGGAATGACACAGGAGGAAGCTAAAAGAAGACAATGTGAAAATAGAGGGCAAACAAAGAAAAGAGGATGCAATGAATGTACCTAATGTTTTTCCCCCTTGGATGAAATATTTTGCCGTCAGTGTGTGCGAGGGAGGACGCACAGGACACAAATAATAACAGTTGTAATGTCAACTTAGAGACAGTGCCCATTAAACAACCAACAAGATGATAAATGCCTTAGAAAATCAAGGGTAACGCAGATCGAAGTGTCTAGTTCAGCACTGCTCAAAGTGTCTAGTTCAGCACTGCTAGTAACGGTGTCAATATGTTTATCAGAGCAGAATCCTCGGAATATTGGGTTTGTTGCTAATTTAAATATTGCGTGGGAAGAGAAGAAAATACGTCTCTGTCTTTTAGATGTTAGATCTGTTAAAGTTTACTGCGCGTTATATATTGCGTGCTTTAGAGATTTTCTGAGCAAATAACATTCAATGCTCTAATGTTAGTTGATTATGAATACATTGAATGCTCTGTGTAACAGTGACTATTTCGTCTGGTTTGGTGGTGGCTGATCCCGGGGGGGGGGGGGGGGGGGGGGGGGGGGGGGGGGGGGGGGGGGGGGGGGGGGGGGGGGGGGGGGGGGGGGGGTAATTTGTTCTCATTGCATAGGCTAGATATTCTGCTATTTATTGCTAAAACGAACAATCTATTTTTAGAAACTTTGTTATGGCATTTGTTTTTCTAAAAAATTTTGTTTGCTAACACACTTTTCGTTCGGTTTTATATCTTTTCTCGATGTTTTTCTAAGAGCGAAGTCAAATTTATACTTCGTAAATTGTTTTTACAGTTCTGTGTATTGTTATTATTACATTAGAGGAATATACTTCCCGTGTGCGTTCTGAGGTTCCCTTTTCGAGAACAAAGTATAGACCTACTTGTCCTAAGAAGCATTTCGTAGGAGGTGACTAAATCGGAAGGCGTCTGCTTAAGAGGCAAGGAGCCAACAGTCTGCATGCCAATAAGCCTAACTGTAAAGCAAATGTGCATGCAAAACTCTAATTCTGGATCAAGACTAACGTTTAGGAGTGGACGAACGACCAAAACTTTCAGTTGAAATTTACAGCCTGGATGAACTTTAACAAGGAGAAAAAGAATATGTATGTTATGTGTGTAGGTAAAGTAAAGTAATGGACACTTTTCTACGCCGTCAGGCGTAATGGACATTTAGGGCGAGACCAAAATTTTGTACTCGGTAGTTCAACATCAGTTGACTATCTTTACTTTTCATGACTTTACCTGTAACTTATTGAAGGCTAGGTTGACCTAAAAGCCAAAATCAATTTTTGAAGAAGAAAGAAACATCCGCCAAGACATGAACCTACCACCTTCTGACCCACAGGCGAGTGTCTAGACACTGCATCACAGCGGCCCTAATTTTTTGTTTGTCATTATGGAAAAGTAAATGCTCAGCGAAGCGTTGAAGACAAAGTTTCAGATGAGAAAAAAAAAATGAACTACACCAGAAACTGCAAGCTTGGTTAGCAATAATATTCTGGATAAAAAAGTTGCAAGTCTTTATAATTAATTTCTAATCTGTATACAGTCTGTTTTTCAAATCCGACTTCTCCTTCCAAGTCGACGCAGCTTAAAATGGGTATCTGGAAATGTCAAAGGAAGTAAAAGGGGTAGACGTGATGATGACAAAATCACCCATCGACTAACAATAGGTCTCTAAAATATGCCTAACATCATATACATGAAGTTTGCCGTGTGAGTTCTGGGGCCCCATTATAGGGAAAACTAGAATAGGTCCACTGCCTCCCGAACAGTCGTAAGAGTCTACTAATTGGGGGTTTCCTTCGAAGTCGGAGTGCATTTCTCTGAGAGGCAAGGAACCAACAGTCTGCATACAAATAAGTCAGATCTGTAAAAGGGATGTGCACGCAACACTCAGTTTCTGGAACACGTCTAAAGTCCAGAGGTGGATGATCAGCCAGAACATTGTGTCGGAGTTTACAGCTGGTGAAGGTGAAGGTATACCTGAAGTGCCACTGACGTAAAATGACTCTTTAATTTGACTTTATGTTTAATGGCAATTTGATTGAGCAGTAGTCAATAAATGAAGTATAATCTTCTTCTTCTGCCTTCTCACGCCAAGTTGTTTTACCCTTCGCTATTGCATGCAATTCTTCCCATATCCTTCCCATCTTTTTGACTTCACTCTCTATCTTCCCACTCTATGTGTGTGGTTGTCTACCTTTATTTCTATGCCCCTGTGGGTTCCAGTGCAAAGACATTCTACTTGTATACTTCTCAGTTTTCTCAACGTATGCCCTATCAAACGGGAGCGTCTTTTCTTCACCTGTCTGTCAACTGGAACTTGTTTTGTTCTCTTCCAAAGCTCAACAATAGTTATTATATCATACCATTTAATTCCCTCTACTCTGCCAGGAACTAGTTAATAAATGTTTATTTATTAGTAACTGTTTTGGGTGATCTCCATTTTCCCGCTCCCTACAACAGGACTGATTTGAAATTATAATTAACAATCCTAAGTTTAGTATTAGTTTTAAGTTCGTTTGACTTCCAAAATTGCTTACTGCTATGAGAGCTCTTGACTCATCGACTGCTCACTATTTCTGTGGAAATCGCTTTCATCCATTTGTAATACTGCATTCACACTATGGCAAAAATCTTGATCACTGGTAATCATCTTCTCACTTTCTGTCAATTCTTTGATGTTTTCTTTTTCCCACTGTAAAATTTCTTGTTCAGACATTTCTCTCAGATCTCTTTCATTACTATGGATTAATCCACACATGGTGCTGGCAATACTGCAACTCGTATCCTCCTTTATAAAAAGGGAGTTTTCACATTAATAAAGTCTAGTTTATATTTCTCAATGGTGCCGCGAAAAGTTCGGCAATTGATATATTTATTGGAAATATCTTCAGATCGAATCAAATCATGATGAATACCTGAAATGTTAGAACCAGAATCTCTTCAAACTGAAACTGTTTTGTCATTAACAATGCCATGATACAACTTAAGTGTTCCATGAGAGGTGATAAAAGAATTTGCTTTATGTACCATTATGTTATGTCCACAAGGTAGATTATCTTTCTCATGAAATAGTTGGCAAGTTTGACATCTTTCACAACTTTAAAGTGTTACTGCGTTGGTGTCTATGGGTTCACTGTCTAAATCAGAGTCAGACATTTCCTGTCCTATATTGGCTTCCTTAAACTTTTTCCTAAAAAAAAAAACAATCCCGTTTAAAATGATTGTAACACCCACAGATGGATTTTGTCCACACATTTTGTCATTCGGATGAGTTTTTTGACAATACCTGCAGTAAACTTTTTTTGCCACATGTTGTTGAACGTGGCTTTACTTCTGTATGGGGTTGTTTCTAGTTCAGTACCACAAGTACGAACAAGAATACACGTTTCTATCACTTAACCAACGTACCTTTGACAGAAATCCCACTGCTGTCGACAAAGTATATAACAGTTAACACGCGTGTTGGCCAAAATACAGACCGGAAGTAAAAGCCGCCAGTAACTAGAGCTGTAACTCAAAGATATTACATAAAACTGTGTTGAATGTTAAGTCCCCAAGGTGAATTAGTGCTTATGAGATGGAAAAGGCGGCTCTCGAGGGACTTACGGACTTTGTCATTCGATGGCTGGAACTGATGGCCCTAACCTTCAGGTTGGGGACACCTTCCTGATCCCGATAATTGGTTTGAGGGCACTGTTCCTTACATCACAGAGATGTTGCCTGGATCTGTGAGTAAGTCAGGACAAAGTAAACGTGCTTAGGATTTACGAGTGAGCTAACATTCCTGAGTCGGCGTCTGTGACAGAGGCTTTAAGAACGAGCTTCTTAATGCTAAGGTGCCAGGTTGGATCCCAGGTGGGGACAATTTAGCAGCAGAACGTTTTTCTTTGGTTTCGACTGTGGTACTGGTTCAGGAAGCAATGGCAAACTACTAAACGTAAAATTTGCATAGAAAAACTACAACAGCAATTAATAAACTTACATGAAAGCTGGTGTTCTGTAAGCACGCTGAAATGTTTGTCCAAGCCTTGCCATGGAAAGCCAGCCGCCATGTGCCGTTATCTTCGCAGTGTCTGAAGGCTAAACCTAGTTAGAATAATGAGCAATTGTATAGTTTGGTTTGACACGCAGTGGGGGAAGAACTGTCAGATTTTTAACTGTTTGCGAAACTAGCAGCTTGTAAAGGGTATGCTGATTTCTATTTACGTGATACACGTTTTCCTAATACTATATGCTGTACTAACCTATCTTTTAACAGTTATTACTGTTGCTCCTCTGATCTCTTAATGTTATAACGGTTAGTATATAGACTAAGACACTTACTGGCTACAGTAACAAGGTCTCAGGATAGAGTCAGGTATCTGCACGGAGTTAATAGGAGTCAGCGAATTTATAAAGTAGTTGCCCATATGGGTTCCCGAGCACTATTGTAGGGAAAACAAGAACAGACCCACTGTCTGACCAAAAGCATGTCGTATGAGTTGACTAATTAGGAGCTTCCTTCAAAGTCATAGTACACCCGCCTAACAGGCAAGGAACCAAAGGTCTGCGTGCAAATAGGTCAGTCATGTGGAACGATTGTGAATGCAACACTCAGTTTCTGAACAGGACGAGAGTACAAAAGTGGAGTAACAACCAGCACTTTCCACCGAGATTTACAACCGGTGAACGCGAAGAAAACGTATAAGGTAGGATATTTCTTTTTCATATATACATATACATATACATATATAGGCTTTAAGAACGAGCTTCTTAATGCTAAGGTGCCAGGATGGATCCCAGGTAAGGACAATTTAGCAGCAGAAAGTTTTTCTTTGGTTTCGACTGTGGTACTGGTTCAGGAAGCAATGGCAAACTATATATATTTATATGTACATGTTTGTGTATATGTGTGCGGGTGTGTGAGATTACTGGACATGCAGAAATTTCTGGTATCTGAATTTGGAATGGTTAAGATAAGTAGATCTCCGCATTACACTCCCCTTAGTTATGGTAAGTTGTTCAGTGAAGATTTTTTTCTTTAAATGCCCCTCAGTAATTTGGCTTCGATATAAATAATATAATCCGTACGATATATAACTGATAAAAAACATGTAATACAAAGTTTGGTCTGCAAACTATTACAATAACCCATTTAACAGATCTCGGAATTTTCTCAAACTTGACCCAGATCGACCCAACTTAAAATGGATACCAGATTACGTGCTCGGCCGGTGTGATTTTGACCATATAATCCACAGTGTGCCAAGTGATCTATTAAATATAAAAAGTTTAAAAAAATGTAAAGATTCCTTTTCACATTTTCACGTCTCTAGGCGCGTTGGGCATAGGGGAAGAGCACCCATATTTTTATAGACCAATCGGCACTAGGTTCATAATGTAGTCAGCATTGCACATACACCCTGGTACACATTTTAGGCTGGGTCGACCTGCGACGCCCCATGCCATGACATAAATCCACACAGCCAGCATTGTGTTTCGATCGCAGTACTCTGGAATTACAAGTCGGTCTCGCAAGCCTAAGCCACGGACGCCACTGATTTATTAAAATATGTCTAACATTATATGCCCAATGCGCCTTAGGCATGAGAGGGTCCTTTACTTCACACATACACACACATGTACGCAAGCATGCAGGCACGCACACACACACATTTACATTAAGCGAATCACAATGCGTTTGATGGTTACACCTGACGTGATATACTTTCTGAACTCCGTATGACGCAACAGTTTGTTTTACTTTACCCACTCGACCCCAGGGGAACAACCCACTCCCTCCCATGCATAATTTCGTAAAGAGGCTAAGTAGTCCTATTTATAATGTGTATAGAAATTCTATTAAAAACTGTATGTTTATATTTCATATTATTTTAATATGTGATTCATATTTATTTTTCCTCTCTGCACAGTGTGACTGACTGACCTTCAACCCCACCAGGACAGCAAGACGAGCACCAAACACCTGGTGACAAAAAAGCCCCACCATTGGAATGAGAATCACCCTGGCGCAATTCCCAGAAACCCCGTTCAACTCGTAGGAGAGAGGGTTGAAAACTGCGTCACAACATTGTTACGGGATTTAAACTAATGTACAGTATTATTATGCTCCTAAATTAGGATTAGATCCATTTGGTTTTGCCTAGAAACTATGGATGGCGACGGGCGCTAAGGCCCCACCCCACCTCCACCCCCCCAACCTAGCCATCTTTTCTCTGTGTATGCATTCCTGCAGGGAGTTAAAGGAACACCTTCCTGAGGCTGAAAGAGTTAACAGTGTAATCAAGTTAACAAAATATCTTTTAAATTCCTAAGAATGTTATTATTAAACATAATACATCTCTTTTCGAAAGGAAGAATCTCTATTCAAAAAGGAAGAATCTTTATTCATTCTTTTGGGAATTGTGAAAATTTAGAATAGGATATCACCACTCATTCTGCTGTCATATTCTTGGATAACTCTGGGGAAAGACGACAGTGAAGATCTTTTATATTCGTAGACACGTATTGATGATGGGCCATTTCAGTCTGTGAATTAGGCAGCGAATTTGGCGACGGAGTGAAAGAATGTTGACAGAATTACATAAAAAGGTAATTCAAGTATTTTATCATTGGCAGAAGGTAAAATTAAATTTTTTTTTTTTTTCAAAAATCATGGGTTATAAGCAATTCGAATGCACCGAGATGGAAATACAATGTAAATGAAAAAAAAAAAAAAAAAAAAAAAAGAAAAGAAAGATTAAAATTGGTTATTAAGTTAGTTGCGTAACCTTTACATGACATTGCAGAACCAACCCCAGCACTTTTTGGCTGTTGTGGTTTTTCTAGGCAAATTTACTTGCAGTAGCTGGGAACCAGCCCGGCACTTCGACATTACAAAGCTCGTTCGCAACGCCAAAACCACATTCTAAATAAAACTCACTTAGCACCGCTGTGGTGTAGTGGCTAGATGCTCGTCGAGATTGGAAGGTCGTGGGTTCAGGCTATGATCGAGTCAGACTTTTTCCCCTTCAAAAATGACCTCGGCTCTCAAGTGGACCCAGCCTTGAATGGGTACCAGGTAAAGTCTTAGGAAGAAAATGCGTCTAGGGTGATGTCGATCATCATCACCCCCACGTGCCAATTGGGTTATAAAACATAGGTCTACGCATATAGGTCCAATACGCCTGAAGGGATGGGAAAGGGTCCATTATTTTTATTTACTTTTTGCATAGGTTACTAGTAATTTGCATGAATCAAACTGACAAAATAGTGAATAGAAAAATAAATAAGTTATTATAAGATACAATTATTTAAAAAATAAATTTGCTACATCTCATTACTTTAAAAAAAGAAAAATGAAAATGATTAACAGCTTATTATCGTTATTTCCTAATAATTATAATCCAGTTCTAAAATATAGTTTGTAAAGTTCATTTTGACCTCCAAAATTTCATAGCGCAATGAAAGCTCCTCTTGCCTTTTGTATTTGCATTTTTATATCTATGTTAGTTACCCCATCTTTATTTATCTACATTACTGCCTAGACAGATGTATCACCCCTCAAGCTGGAGTAGGATACCATAAAGAGAAACGACATTACTATTTGCCTGATTTATTCGCATTATCTTAGTTTTTCTCTCTTGTTTTTTTTTTTTTTAAACCTAGTTGTTGTGGTCATTCATTTGCACCTGATTCCGTGAGTAAGACAGAAAAGAAATATCACCAGCGAAGTCCACATCTTCAAGATGTTTTGTAGGCGTCCACTGAATTCCATTCTTGGTGTTGACTGACTTTCTACCCCACCAGGACATCACACAAGCGATAAACACCCGATGACACAATGTGCCACCATGAGGACGAGGATCACCGTGGAGAGGTCAAAGAAACCGCGGTCAGCCATTAGGCCATATTTATGACCGGGCTATATTACGGCCCCTGGCATGAGCCAGAGTTGATTAGTTGCGTATCCTTTACAGGACGTTGCAGAACCAACCCCAACAGCCCCTGACTGTTGTGTATTTTTTCTAGGCAAATTTACGTCCAGTAGTTTGCCATTGCTTTCTGGACAGTCGGCTTTCTTGATACCACTGTCGAAACCAACGCAAGGCGCATGGCCCGCAGCTGGGATCGAACCCGGCATGCCGGCATTACGAAGCGTTCGCCACAGAGCCGACATGAGCCAGAGTAGGGCTTAAAAAAAAACGAAAATTGCATCCTAAAAAGGACGGCAAAATTGCAGGTTATTCTTAGTGTTAGCAGTTGCGTCTTTTTAAGCCAGTATATTACCAGCTAAAAAGAAGAGGAGAAAAAAGACTTCCCTGCTGCACACCTGTTAATTTTACCTCACGAACAACTCAACATGTCGTGTCTCTGTAAGTTGCTTTTACTAAGTTAATATTAGGTGGTATCCCATAGAACCCCAGTTTCCAAAAAGGTTTCCTACCAATGCAGTTTAAAGAATAATGGCATTAAGGAGTTTCTACAACCACGCGGAATCACAATAGCCATCGCTGCTTTAACGATAGAAGTGGAAATTGGTGATGATGATGACATTTCTACTTACCGTGTGGGTTATAAATTTCAAGATCAGGACAGGGCATATAAGCAGTGGTCCCGGCTTTTGTGTACCTAATACAGATTCCGAAGTCATCGATCAATGCTGGACAATAGACGCCTGTAAAATAAAAAAATAAAAATAAAAACGAAAGTGATTCGAATAACTACTCATATATACATTAATCTCTGAAAATGTCTAGGAGCTCGTGGGCTGAAACATTTGTAGACGGGAGATCACTTTTACTAATGATTTGTAGACTCCTGCTGTACATGCTCCCCTGTGGAGTTTCTTCTTATGTCTTCATGTGCGTATCATTGTATGTCTATGTATTCATGTGTATGTTCTACGTACGTTTAACATAAACCTAGCCTTAATGCATGAAGCATGTATGCATCTTTGCATGTATCTATTATGATTCTTACATGCATCTATTACTGTCTGTCTGTCTGTCTGTCTGTCTGTCTGTCTGTCTGTCTGTCTGTCTGTCTGTCTGTCTGTCTGTCTGTCTGTCTGTCTGTCTGTCTGTCTGTCTGTCTGTCTGTCTGTCTGTCTGTCTGTCTGTCCGTCCGTCTGTCCGTCCGTCCGTCCGTCCGTCCGTCCGTCCGTCCGTCCGTCCGTCCGTCCGTCCGTCCGTCCGTCCGTCCGTCCGTCTGTCTGTCTGTCTGTCTGTCTGTCTGTCTGTCTGTCTGTCTGTCTGTCTGTCTGTCTGTCTGTCTGTCTGTCTGTCTGTCTGTCTGTCTGTCTGTGTATGTATGTGTGTGTGTGCGTGAGTGCGTGCGTGTGTGCGTGTGTGTATGGATAGATGGATTGGATGGATGGATGGATGGATGTCCTATTTATGTGCAACACAAACCTCTTACAGAGGCGTTAATCCACCCTTTAAATAACCACATCAACACCATTCTCTATGTCGAAGGAAATGGACACTCGTTAGGGAAAAAAAAACCAACAGCCAATCGTTCAATTATCTTTCATTCTTGATAAATACACACTGTTTTGTCACTTCTGTTTTCGATGTTTTGAAGATTTTTCTTACGATTGTAAAATTTTCCAGAATATGGCGATAAACGACCTTTACGTGGATTAACGGGACGAATCTTGGTCTTAAAGAGTTAAATCATCAACGAAAAGAATGAAACATCTTTATGCTCTTGCTGACAAGTACTCAATAATTGTGCTGCAGGTTGTGTGGTGTAAGGCAGCTGTGATAACCTAGTGGCCAGAGCCGTTTTAACGGCATTATGGTCCCCTAAGAAAACCAGTGTGCGACGGCATCTACTAAAACCAGTCACAGGAAAGTTATTTTGATTTACGGAAAGCTACTTGACAGACACAGAATCGCATCGGACGCCTATGCCAAGCGGACCCATGAGTTAAGACGACCAGTTAACCTCCCGAAACAACCAAACATGAGCATTAATTTTCAAAACGATGCGGCCCCGATGCAAAGGCTATTCCAGCGAATTTCCTTGGTGCAGATAAAGATCCATATTAGCTTCTGTTCGTGAATAGGAAAAACCACCCATGAGGCTGTTCAAGTCGCTGGTATCAACGAGAGCACAGCAAGAAACATCATCAATGCCTACAAACGAGAATGTGCCATTTCCCAGCAAAAATTATGGAGAAACGACAAAGAGAAGCTGATTCCCGATGTCCTGAAGCGCAGCGAAAAACATTGTTGAACAACATCAAGAGAATACATTGGTGCAGACACAGCAGCGGCTGTGATTTACCTGTCGGTTTCGACGGTTTTCAGTGTCTCAGAAAGCTAAAGATCACCTTAAAACAAAAAGTGTCGCGATGAACCTGATCGCGTCATAGGTACCAGCAAACGTATGCTCTCGATCTCTCAGCATATGCTGAGGAGGGGTGCATCTTCATTGAATAAAGTGAATGCAACCTCAGTCCGTAACGGACGCAGGCTCACTTAAGAAGAGGGAGGGATACGATCAAACATAAACCTGCTCATTTTATGAGACCGTATGTTACACTAACTGTGGCAATGAATAACCAAGGCACAGTTTTGCCTTATATATATATATTATATATATATATATATATATATATATATATATATATATACAGAGAGAGAGAGAATGAGAGAGAGAGAGAGAGAGAGAGAGAGAGAGAGAGAGAGATGGAAAGAGAGAAGAGAGCGGGACTTAATGTACCAACTGCCTCTCATAGAAGAGTCAGAGACGAATACTGTGGAATTAGGTGCAGTGAATGACATGCTTTTTAAGGCTTTAACTACGGTACGTGTAGTTTCACTAACTGTGTTGCCATCTTGAACTGTCTGCCGGCAGATGTTATTCTAAAAGGTGTAGCATCGGAAAGTAGGGAAACTTGTAGGAAACTTGCCATAGAACCACTTTCTCAAATGTTTGTGCATTCGTCGCACGCTATGAGAAATTTGAATAAAGATTTGTCCTCCTGCTGCGTGATCAGATAGTGTTTATTGTTAGCTAAAATTGTTCATAAGTTCAAATACTTTGTCATGTTGTAGAATCATTATCATCATCTTCTTCAAAACGATAATAATCATATCCATTATTTTTTTTTAAACGCCATGAACATCTTCATTGTCAACCTCATGACTTATTTTTCATTCAGTTACATCATCTGTCGTTTTGCGGAAAAGGTAAAAGGCAAAGTGAAAATGAAAAAAAAAAATTTTTATGATGGTAGAATAGAAAAGAGATAAATGAACTAATTCGCCTACAATAAAAGACACAATATAGAGCAAAATCAAGGTGCAGTGTTAGTGATCCCTTGAAGCCAGTCTCCAGTAAAAAAATAAAACTTGACTCAGTGATAAAATAAATGAGCAGTTAGCATTATTAAGTATGGACAATTTTTTAATTCCTATTGTGTCAAAAGTCGGCTCTGTGGCTAAGTCGATGCGAACGCTTCGTAATGCCGGGATGCCAGGTTTCGATCCCAGCTGCGGGTCATGCGCATTGCGTTGGTTTCGACAGAGGTATCAAGAAAACCGAACGTCCAGAAAGCAATGGCAAACTACTAGACGTAAATTTGTCTAGAAAAACCACACGACAGCCAGGGGCTGTTGGGGTTGGTTCTGCAACGTCCTGTAAAAAATACGCAACTAACCATTGTGTAACAAATGTCTACACCATCTTTAGATATGGCGGATTTGTTTTCAGTTTGCGAATACAGAAAATAAAAAAAGTAAGTTCTATTTAATAATGATGGAAGAAAACAAAACAACATTTTACTTTTGCATTCATAGAAAAACATTCAAAGAATCTTCCTCAACTATAAAAAAAAAAAAAATATATATATACAAGCAGGTTAAAATGTCACTGGAAAAGTTCCCAAATATATACAGGTATAACAGCCACAAGTGTGCTTTTGACCTCAAAAAGAAACCACTACTCCATTAAAACATCATCTTCGTCAGCAATCCCAGAAACATCGATATTAATTGAGGTAATCATAATTTTAAAGAAAAGAACAAATGCATCCATACTTCAAGAGCTGAATATTGAAGAGGGTTGGCTAGTAAAGACAATAAAACAAAGAAAATTGAAATATTTTGGTCACTTGAAACGTCATGGAAGTCTAGAGAGAACAATAATGGAGGGGTATATGCCTGGGAAGAGAGGAAGAGGAAGGCCAAGGAGAAGATGGGTGCAGGATGTGGCAGATGATCTCCAGATGGGTGTATCAGACGCAGGACATCTTGCTCAGGATAGGAAGGTTTTCCGGAGGGTTGTTATGGCAACGAGGTTCCGCGAGGGACATGCTACTGAATGAATGAATCATAATTTGCAATATGCTTGTCATTCATTATCCTCTTCCCCACCAGTCTTTTCTATCACATCATCATTCCCATCATCAACATCCTTTGTGCTGTTTTACGTTATACATGACTCGAAGACCAGTACTCCTTTTGGTTCTATCCTTTTTTAGTCGTGATTTCAATACTTTATACAAATATGTGCCTATATATATATATATATATTTGCGAAGCCGGAATATATTACGTTATATATGAAATTAATACTGTAAGCTTTAGTGGAGCGGTGGTTATGTGTTGATTTATCAACCCACAGGTCATCGACTGGAATCCACAGTGGGTCGGATTATCAGAAGTGATCTAGAACTAAGTCTGCCTAACCTGAAAATGGATCTCAAAGATTGTCCTGGTAAGAAAATGTGGCAAAATTAACATAAAGAGTTCCGATTGGGTATTTTTAAAAAAAATATGAATCTCGCGTCACACACTTATAGACTACTAACGTGACAAACGGTGGTTATGTTCTTTTTTTATATTCACACAGCGTAGCCCTGGGACATTATTTTCAAAATAATTTCTTAATGTATGATGAAACAAAACATTACTGATTATTAACTAAGAAAATGATAATCAATAGTGTTCTCATCTCTCTCTCTCTCTCTCTCTCTCTCTCTCTCTCTCTCTCTCTCTCTCTCTCTCTCTCTCACAAACGCACACACACACTCACGAACACACTCCCATGAGTGTGGGTGCTTGTATGTATCTGTATGAGCATGGGTGCATGCAGGTATTTGTAAGAGTGAGTATGTATGAGTGTGTGTGTGTGTATGCATGTATGTATGTAAATGTATGGGTGTGCTTGTGTCTGTGCACGTATGGGCAAAAAAGAGTATATGTGAACGTGTGTATTCGAAGTGTGTATGACTGTATACATGTTGCGTGTCTGCATTATTTTATTATGTGTATTTGTATGTAAACATAACATGCATTAATAATAACATGCAGTTGTCTGAAAGATGAATGCTTGGAAAGGCCGAGGGTAATACGGGCCTGCGTGCCCACTTTGTAACCCATCGAAAATAAAGTTTGTTTCTTCAATCTCTCTCTCTCTCTCTCTCTCTCTCTCTCTCTCTCTCTCTCTCTCTCTCTCTCTCTCTCTCTCTCTCTCTCTCTCTCTCTCTCTCACTCTCTCTTTCCCTTATCATTAGGTGTCTTTGTCTGTGTGTTTGTAAGCGCCCCTTTGTTGTGTGTATGTGTCTGCATGTCATAGTATATGTCTGTGTGTGCTGTATATATGTGTCTGCGTGTGTATGTCTATGTGTTTGTCTGAGTGTGTTTGTCTGTGTATGCATTTCTG